GCCATGTCCCCCCACAAACAGCCCCTGGGCATCCCCTGGCCATGGGACCCGCTCTCCCTGGTCCCCACCCCAGCAGCTGGGCACACTGGCCGCAGCCAGCGCTCTGCCCCTGCTGTGCCCCTCTGGACAGATAAAAATGAATTATTTTCTTTTAATTACAACAATAACAAGAAAAGACCATTTTCCCCATTTTGGTCCAAGCTGCGCCTGTGCTGTCCCGGTGCTGCCAGGGCACCATCCTGCACCATCAGGAATGTGTCACTTCAGTCGCTAGCCTGGATTTGTCCCCCACTGGGCACCAAAGCCCCGGTGGCCAAGCACTGCTGGCATTGATGTTCCCAACATTGATGTTCCAAATGGATCTGTGTCACTGTGGGAGGGAGGGGAGACTGTGGCTGGAGACAGTGCCACTGCCATCTCCTTGTTGCCAATTCCCTGCTGAAAAAGCCCTTTTCCAGCTCGGTGGGCATCTCACACCTGGATTTTCTGTGGGCAGTCACAGAGCATCCCTCACCTTTTTTTTTGGAAGAGGTGTGGGGAATCTCAGTGTGGCCTTTCCAGGATTGCCTCAGCTCCCCAGTTCTCAGATGTGCTCTGGCTGAGCACATCTGGCTGAAGGAGGCGAGAAGGCAAGGAGGAGGAAGCAGCAGGGTTGATAAGGAAAAACTGAGGAAGCCAGCAGTTACCCGATTTCCTTGATATGCAAAGAAAAAACAAGACACCCAGTGAAGTTTAAGTACAACAAAGTAAATTCTGCTCATTTCAGGAGCCTGCCAGGCTATTAATAGTGAAAGATAGGGAGGTGGTGCTGGGCACTGGAATTTTTGCTCTGGGATCCCCATGTGCTGCTGAGGGAATGGTGCTTTGTCCCAATTTAGTTGCTCAGGGAGGGGTCCCCAGGATTTCCCTACCCTAAACTACAAACTGTAAAAATTCTGAGTGTCCCAGTTACAAAGATAATCTCAGCCTTGTATTTTTAGCTCCAGGTTTTGTCTAGGCTGTGTTTAATGTTTAGCAGCGTGATTAATGCTGTGGTGGCTAATTAGGGTGCAGAACAATTTGTTTGCAGCGTCAAGTGCAGTCACAGCACCGTTACATCCGAGATAATTTAATACAGGGGGGATTGTACACTCTCAGACAGAACAAGCTGCAGACATGCCTTCACCCCACTCTTTCCACATCCTGAGAGCTCTCCATACAGTCTTGACTCAGCAAAAGGAGTAATTTGCACTGTAGGTGCTTTAAAAATAAAAAACCCAGAACGGACAATGTCTCCTGCCTCCATGCCTTCCAGGGCTATCCCCACACACTGTGCAGCACTGTCAAACCTCCCCAGCACTGCCACAGACCTCCATGTGTTGGACTCCACCAGAAACAAGAGGGAGAAGACTTTTCTGCAAGACTTTTTCAGGTGTTTCACACCACAAGCTAATAGCCTTTTCAGCCCAAATTAACCTTTCCAATTTGCTTGAAATCTTTCTCATTTCCTCCAGAAAATGAAGGGAAAAATACCCAACTGTAATTGCCAGTGTGGTTTTGTTAAAACACAGAGTAGTTCCTGATTGGAAAGATTTCCTAGACACTCCAGCCACAGAGAAGAGCTGGGTGAAAGGGGAGGAAGGCAGGCATGAGGTTTTTGCATCAAGGCAGCTGGTGTACAGTCCTTGCTACAAACCTACCTTGGGTCTCTCCCACGGAGGTGACACTCAGCCACAACAGCGCTGGAGCCCACCGTCCTTCTCCCTGCAGCGAGCCTCCAGCACAGGTCTCCTTTAAAAAACAAAAGCAGAAAGGAAAAGGCAGCCATAGAAGATGAAACACCAGCTGGGTCCGCTCTCAGCAAGGCAATTCCTGCCTGACTGGATGGTGCTGAGCCTGCAACGTGTGGCTGCCATCCTGTTTGGGATGAGCTGGATCTCCTTCATTAACAGCAATGGGTTCCAAATACCTTCACATACATATTATTACCTGGCTTTAATGGTAGTGAAACAGTGGTAGAATATTGCAAACACCTGAAGGGTGTCTAATGGAGGAGAGGACTGAAAGAAAGGAGCTCCCCTCCCTTTCATGGAGGATTTAAAGGCATTGGGCTCCTTCACTGGCGTGAGAACAGGCTTGGTACCTACCATGGGCAATTTTTGACCACTCTGTGGGCCACTCAGTTTGCACCCACAGGGCAAAGCTACCGGCATCCCCAAATTAAATTAAATTATCCAGGGGCACAACACTGAGCAGCCACTCATGGCATTTGGTCTGTGCTTTGATCTTGGAGCTGCACAAGGCAGGTGCTGGAGGAAAGATCCCACGTGTCCCCCTGAGTGCTCACAGTGCCTTGGGGATGCAGCGAGCCCGAGCATCCCTAAGGACCACTGCCCCCCAGGAGAGTCCTGCATCCCCTGGCACCAGAGCAGGGGCTGCCATGAGCCTGGCCATGCCCGTGCCACCAGCCCTGCCTGCCTGTGGTGTTTATTTCATGTCTCACAGCGTTAAATCATAGCAGACATGCAATTCGGGGAGCGTGAGGCTCTGTAATGGGCGGCCTCGGGTGTGTGATGGGGCCGGGGCTGGCAGGAAGCTGCGCTGCCAGGGCTCCTCGCTGATGCTTTATTGCTTTTGACGCTCCAAACGCGCCCTGAAAGGCGAGTCTTGGCAGCCCAGAGGAGGGCTGCTTCCCTCTCCTGCCTGCTCTGTACTGTCAGCTGAGGCCTCCCTCCCTTTTCCTACCATGGTCCCCAGCCTGGCTGCAGCTCCCTGTCCCGTGCAGAGCCCAGCTACACTCATGCCACAGCCCAGGCAGCCCCCAGCATGTCCCGTGGCATGGGGTGGGAGCTGCCAAGGTAATGTGGTGTGTAATGCTGTACACCTGGGGCTTGGGGTGAGACGGGGCGTGTGGAGCATCACTTGTCCCATCACATGTTGGGGACCTTGTGCCTGTGCCCCTGTGCTTTCCCCAGTCCCTGAGATCGCTGCAGCTCTGGGCTAAGCACCCAGAGAACCTGCCTGTAGCATGGCTGCTCTAGGAAAGAGCCCTGAGTTTCCAACCCAGCACAGAGATGCTGCCATGCGTGGCTGCAGCGGAACCCAGGCAGGACGCGGGGCTGAGCTGTGGGAAGCCCCAGGCGCCGAGCACTTTGATTCCCAGAAAAGCAATTACTGTGCAGCAGATTACAGGGCTAATAAAATCCCATTATGCCATTTTGGAAAGTAAATCTGATCCGGGCGCTGCCGATTGATATCAGCCATCCCACAGAATGTCCCGCAAGAGCCCCCCGTGCGCACACGTAACACGAGGCTACAGTAGATCACGCTAATTAGATATCCAATAACAGGAGGGCTGATAGGAACTACATTAAAATCTCCTTAAGATGAAGACATAAAACCCAAGGGAGAAAATTCAGAGTTAATGACGCTGCAGCAGAGGCTCCACTGAAGTGGTCCGTGCCCCCTCAGCCGCATCCTGCCCGCTGCAGACACGGGAGGCCAGAGGAGAGGGGCAGAGTGGGGCACAGTCCCCGGCGCCGTGGTGGCGCTGCCCGTGATTTTCATTACCCAGATTCAATAATGGGAGAGCGCTACGAGCTGCCGGCACTCCCCGGGAGGTGACTTGCCAGCCACTAACGGAGCTGAGAAATCAAATTAGCCCTGGCTCTGCTCTCGCTCTCTCCCTGAAACCG